TTATTAAATTGCAGATAAATACAGATTTTTGGTTTTGTGCCCCACTACTGACAAAAATGAGCAAAAATATGGTCTGTGTACTTAATATGTTGATGTTGATGGCTCAATCTGACTGAAAAGCCTTCATGTAAACACCACGATTGACCCGATCGAGCTCGATCTAAATTCAATTTCAGAATGAAAAGGGCGATGTTGACCAATCAGTAGGAAAAAACTAAGAATATAAACGCATTAACTTGAGTATTTTCTTAACCGGATTCTACTTCTTACGAATGTGCAATGCGTTTATTTACGGGATATTAATGTACAAATGTGAATCGGACGAAAATCAGTGCTGCAAACATATTGGAATTCATAATATTGAATCATATATTCTGTGTTCAAAAGATGATATGGAAGGAGTTTTCACAAGCACATGTACAGTCTCCATGAATTGCCTGCAGTCGATTTTTGTTTCAGAAGAAAAAGGTTTTGTATACTTGTAAAGCTCAAAGGAGGTTTTTCAGCAAGTAGTCTGAGAGAAAGTTGTGCTTTTTAAGAGAAACCCTGTCAATAAGTGCAGTGCTTTCTGCTAATGGCACCAGAGAAAGATGCTTCTCTCTAATAGATAAATGACTCGTCTGGAGCTTTATTTAAAGCAGAAATGGCTTGTTTCTCTCTCTCTTTTCTTTGTTCCACAGCCGTCTGATTGAAGGATAATGTCACATAAGAAACCTGAACCTGACATATACAGAGACTTTCACTGAGTTTTCACTCATTACAGCTTTAAACTATGATATTATGACAGCATCCAGTTCAGATTTAATGACCACATTATATAAGAATATATAAAAAGGCCACTCTCTGACCACTGCTTTATTAAACCAGGCGTCTCCTATATAAGTACCCAAAGGTCATTGCTCACAGGATTTAATGACCAGTTTGATGATCGCACCTTCGGCCCACCTGTCTTATGAAGACACAGAGAGACCCTCTCTTGCATTAGTTTTTATATTTCATTAACCGCAGCTTTTGAGTTTTAGTCAACCACAATAATGTCTAAAAGCAGTTGTTCACCCACAAATGAACTGCTGCTGTGTAGAAAAGACAGCAAATGTTCATTTTTGCATGCACGAATCCCTTCGAACAGAGATCTGCTCACTGTTTTGACACTGACAGACACAAATTAGGAGGTACGAGATGCGCTGGGTTTTCTTGTCAGTCTGTTTTGTAGGTCAGGCTGTGTTTGATTTAAAGGTGTGGAAGGAAATGAGTTTCGACAGCATCAGTGACAGTGACCTGTCGTATGGTGGATCAAACAGATATTATTCATCGCCTGAAGAGTCACAGAATTCAACCTGAGGCTACAGAATAAAAATCTAATGCCAAGTCTCAGACTTCAGCCTCTTTATCTCTCGAATTTTGTCTGATGGGTAAAAATGAACCACTAAAACAAATCTAGTGTGAATTTGAACCAGCTTTTTGTTTTTTTTGCATTTGATTACTATACATAGCTACTAAATAAAATTGTCATAAGTAGCAGTCGTTTAATAATACATCAGTGTTTTGTGCTTCTTCTGTCTGTCAGTGCCTCTGCATTTGCCTTTAAGCATCAAAATGGTTTGTGCGACAGTTGCTGTTAATTTTTCATACGCTCAGAGGCAAAATAATATTTCATAATGTAATTTAATGAAGCAATAAGCCACGAAAGGCTGTGCTTTATATGATTTTACCATTAGTAAGGGCTGTTCTTCTGTACAACACAGATGAACAGCTTTGAGTGGTTTATTGCTTTTATAAAACAGCAAGTTATATAATAACTGCAATAACTGATTATTTCACCAAGAAATGTAGTTTATATGTTTAACAGTAAGATTGCCAAGCAACTTGCATATAGCTCATCCAATCAGAATTTATTATCAAAAAATGGAAAAAAAAAAAAAAAATTAAAAATTTTGTTTTTAATAAAAATTAGCAATTAAATTACTATAAAATATATACATAAAATAGCCTATTCACTTTATATTTAACATAAGAGCGAGCAAGCATGACTTTTATTTGTTAGAATTAGAAATAATACAAATATTGAATTGCAACTCAAAGAAAAAGATTTTATTTTTAACGATGATGTTGACTTTAAAAATGGTAAATTGTAAATTCACTCATTATATACGGAAAATATTTAAAAAGTAATAATTCTTTATCCACAAATGTAAATGGGAATTGAAAAACTTTTTTGAAAAACTAACTACTAATTTTACTCATTTTAAAATAGAAATAGGTCATTACTTGTACACCTTAACAGCAATGTGAAATTTGTGCTTTCAAACGATTAATCGCGATTAATCGCATACAAATTAAACGTGTTTGTTTACATACTATATATGTGTACTGTGTATATTTATTATGTATATATAAATACACAAACATACATGTATATATTTTACAAATATATATATACAAACAAATAACAAATATGTATATACAGTATATATATATTTAGATTCATATATAATTTATATTAAATATAAATATTTTATATATAAAAAAAATTATTTTTCTTAAATATATACATGCATGTGTATGCATTAATATATACATAATAAATATACACAGTACACACACATATCTTATGTAAACAAAAACGTTTATTTTGGATGCGATTAATCGCGATTAATCATTTGTCAGCATTAGAAAAAATGAAAATTACTGTAAAGCCTTAAATCTATTCCTTGCTTTTCTTTTTGATAATTGTATTTGTTTCTCTTAGTATTTGATTTGATATGATTGATGTTATCACTGCCTTTTAATTGACCCTTCCAAGTCCCCTTATTCGCGAAAAATAGTTTATTTCCACACTGCAATATAAGATGGATAATATAATACAAATGCATATAACTTTTGACTGGGTGGCGCTGAGTTATATTATAGTGTCAGAATATTATGCCAATCACAGCATTTTGTGGCAATACAATAAAGAGCTCTAGAATAAGTTCAGTTTTGATAACGTTCAAAATAGTCAAAGTTGCATAAATAGAATTTGAGCTGTAGGTGGCGCTAGAAGCTTCAAATCAGTATAAATTTAAATTGTCCTAGTAGTGTGCCAGATTTCATAATGTTGTACTATCTAGCTCAACTGTCTGCCAAAGACTCCCATGGCAGAATCATAACAGAAAAACCAAGTGTCTACACACCTTTGGTCTCAACACCTAGAAAAGAATTGAGACAAAACACAAGAAAACACTTTGCTAAAGCGGTCTGGGCCTCTAGATAATGTGATTGATGCTGTCCGTCACTCTCCTCCTGCACTAAAGCAACACGCTCAACCTTTTAGCATTTGCAATCATGTGCTCAGTGAATCTGTTTCCAAGGCAACCTGATAAATTCCCTAGAGGTGTGAGCTGGTGAGACTATTGTTTATTTCCTTTTTAATTTGATATATGTTTTAGAAAAGAAAAACAGATAGCAACAGAGGTTGTCCACAATATTCTTTTTTCTTTTTTTTTTTTAACAATGGCTAATGACTGAAAATGGTAAACCTACAGAAAATGTTGAATTTATCCATCCATTCCATTCAAACCGCTTATCCGCTGTATATGGTGGCAGGAGAATATAGTCAGGGTTTTAACTAAAACTAAAACTAAAATCATAAAAAATAGAAAATAAAATGAAATAAAGTATTTAAAAAAACTAAATATTTTAAAGGCAAATCCTACATAGAGACAAAAAACAATAAAACTAATAAAAAATGACTCAAACTTTAACTTAAAAATTAAAAATATAAAAACTAATTCAAAATATTAAAAATACAATAGTATCTCTATACCTAATAACACTTGAATATATAATATTTTTTATTAATTGTATGTGTAAAAGCTTGAGGATATTTCTATGATTCCAATTATTGTGCAAATTATTCAATAATTTTAAAAGGCATAGACGTTTTAAAGGAATTTCTGCCATTATCAGGGCGGAATCGGTCTTGCGCATCGCAAATGTCTTGTGGCGGCCGAAAAGTCAACAACGAAGTTTATATTTTTGTTGTGATATTTGCAATGTTTAAATAATATAAACAATTAAATAAAATATGTGTATAATAATAATAATAATAAACAGTACTTCGATGTTACATCCAATCCAAAACAGAAATCGCTCGGTTGCTATGGTTACCGCATCAGCGAATTCTGTTCGAGATCGCGAGCGTCGGTTTTGCGCATATTTTGATGCAATTTAACATTTTTGGTTTCTGGAATGTCGAAATGTTATTTACTGGAACGCACATACACGGAAGAATACATACATTTAAAACAAACCCAGATAGCACACGTACGTCTGCAAGAAGTCTGTTAAAGATCGCTTCATCTGGAAAGCATCTGCTGTGTACAAACATCTCATAGACGTCTTTAAGATGTTAGTTTTACATACATTCTAAATCATAAACATCTTAAAGACATCTTCTAAACGTCTATTTGACATCTGATGGAAACGTCCTATAGACGTATTGCAGATGAGCAAACACTCTAAAAAATACGTCTTGCAGACGTCTCCGTGATGTACGTGTGCTTTCAGGGAACGTATTGTTTTGAGTTAAGCGTTCAAACCTTAATGGTTAAATTCTTAAAAAAACTCACTAATCAACATTTCAGATTACGAATCCTCTCACGATCCGCCACTTCGGAGCGGTTGCGCATGCGCACAGAGAGGCGCGGAGCTGCCCAAGTGCTGAACCCGGCGCGCAACTCAGCGAGCTTCTGTCTGTCATCAGAAGAGATTCTCCGGCGCTGAAAAACGCATCACTCAACGACAGCCAGGATCGCACTCGTAATCTCCGCTCGCGCGTTCCGCTGCATCCGACTCGAGCGCAGAATGATTGCAGCCGCTTCCCGGGGCTTTTTCTGCACGCGCAACAGCGGACCCGCGGCGTCTCGGTGTGGTTTCATGCACACAGCCGAACCATGAGACTCCGGGCTGAAGTGGCGCTCGTGTGCTCGGCTTTACCCGCGGAAACCTCCGGCTGTGTTTTAGTTCGGAAGAAAACGCGACTGGTGTTCGTTCGGGGCGCGTAGTGCGTTTCTGAGCCCATGAGGGAGAGCGAGCGAAGCCAGAGGAATGACTCGCCCTTCTGTAAAACTCCTCACAACTTTACTCGCATGCTTGATAGAAATGCACAACTTCAGGTACGTGCTTCACGTCTCCAGCTGTTAAAGCAACGTCTTTTAGTCTTATAAACAGCTCAATATTTGCAATGCAAACATCTAGTGCACTGATCCTGACGCGCGTTGCCATGACGATTAAAGAATGTAAAGGTAAAGAACCAGAATGTCGGTTCGAATTAAAATTAGAATTCGTGCAGATAAACAAAGATTCCATTCTGTTTTTGTAATTCTTTAGGGAGAGGAAACTGGGGTTAGTTGCAAGAAGGTCTGTGAGGTTTTAGTCAAAATACACGAAAAGCATTGGTTGTTTGTTGGTTTCAAATATCTACTTCAAAACGAATTGTAATTAGCATATTTATGGTTAATTATGTGTCATCCAATGTCATATTTTTGTAAAATAAAGCCTCACTTGACATACATGAAGACAAGAGTCACTACTGTACATACAGTGAAGGTGAACTGAATATAATGAACCGAAACTGTCACATATTTCATTAATTATAATATTACATTTTTGCTGTTTATTTTATTTGTGTCAATAGTGTGACAACATGAGGGTCAGTGTGTGTTAAACTGTTTTTTTTAATTTTATGGACAACAAAAATAACTTGTTTGTAGTTCATATTTTAAGGTTTGTGTCCATACAGAAAATACTTTTTAAAATAAACCCACTCTAAAAAAATATTTAGTGGAGTAGAAGTGTGACAACTAGCCCCGCTCTATAGCCTCATTTCCTTCTCTAGGACAAAGAGCCTCAAGTGCAATGATATGAAACGAAAAAATAAATATTTTCTTAAGATAAATAAATTCAATTCTACTTTATTCTATTCTAGTGATGTTAATTAGCTAAGCATTTTTCTTATTTTATTACATTGCCAATAACAGTTGTGGTAACATTCTGGCAATGTTAGTTTATGGCTATAAAAATGATAACCGTATTGAATGTTGAGAATCAATTCTCAGAAGAAGCGCAGTGAATGTTTGTGATGTTTATTGACACACTACTGCTCCGTGTCTCAGGAGAACGGCAGGAAAAGAGTATGAGGGAATGTCTGGACGTGAATCTTCATCATCGATGTCTCCCTCAGATTTCCTGGACAAACTGATGGGCAGAACGTCAGGCTACGACGCACGGATAAGACCCAACTTTAAAGGCATGAAACTGCTGGAAATTCAGTTCATTACACTGCTGTTCTTATGCATCAAAACATTCGGAGGCTGCTATATAGACAAAATATATCGTTCTTCATTTTGCATTAGTTTTTAGTCCAAACTAGGGCTGTCAAGCGATTAAAATTTTTTTATCTACACTGTAAAAAAAAATCTGTGACATTTACGGTAAAATACCGGCAGCTGTGGTTGCCAGAACTTCACCGTAAAAAATACGGTAGCAACATTTTAGGTTTTACAGACTTAACTTAAATTCACAATAAAATACCGTATTTCATTAACTGATGTAATGTTAATAAACCAACATATTGAAGGGTTAATATCTGTTTTGAACCATTGTAATGCACTGATAACCACCAAAAACTGGTGGTGATGAGAAAGTCACACGATGAACCAAAGCTCATCACAAACAGCTTTTCTACGAGCTGAGGAGGGCAATACTTATATATAGAAGGTGCACAGTCTCATTCACACAAACACTAAACACCATCATGGTGACACACATGATACTGAAATAATGCATTAGATTTAACAACATTAGATGTAAGATTAAACCCTAATGTACACAACTGATAACAAAAAACTAAGAAGAAACGTTATTTCAACAAAAAAACATCAGATATGAAGTGTCATGCAGGGAATTCTGGGAGTGTCAATTTGGTTTTTCACTTTAAATTATACGACTTTTTCTTTTTCACTTCCAAAAACCATATTTTTAAGAGTATTTTACTGTAAAATTACATTAAATGTAATTACATTTATCCACCGTATAGAGTATGGAAACTTACTGTTAACCAGTTAACAGGTTTTTAGGGTAGCATTTTTACAGTCTTTTACTGTTAAAATCACAATCATTTTTTACAGTGTAGGGTTTAGCGTCATAGAAGTTATTACACATAAACCTTTAAGGCTATAATGTGACCATAACATTGTTTTCAGAAGCTGCATCTGAAGTGGCATTTACGCGTATGAATATTCATGAATTAGATTTGCAGAAATAATGCTATGAGATTAATAGGTTTTAAATGGGCATTAATGGGTTTTAAAAAATTGAATACTGAAATATGAAATATTAAATGATACTAAATATGAAACTAAAACTGCCAGTTGGAGGTGGCAAGTCGCTATATTAATGAGTGAGTCATTCAATCAAGTGTTTTTGTTCAAACCACTGATTCATTCAGAAATGAAGTAAATTGACCGTCTTTATGAACGAGTCACTGAGTCATTGACTCACTTGATTTGTTCAAATGGCTGATTCATTCAGAAATTAAGCAAGGGATTGTCTTTATGAACGAATCACTGTATCATTGGCTTGCTTGATTCACTCAAACTGCTGATTTGTTCAGAAACGAAGCAAGTGACTGTCTTTATGAACGAGCCACTGAATCACTGACTCACTCGATCTGTTCAAAACCATCAAAAATCAAAATAAATTAATTCAGTAACGAATCACCACTTGGAGATGCTCTGGCTTTAAAGGGGTCATATGATGCTTTTTTAAAGATCATTATTTTGTGTATTTGGTGTAACAGAATATGTTGACATGCTTTAATGTTCAAAAAACACATTATAAGATTTTCATTTGCGAAATTGAGCAAAAACAGACAATATTGTGTCTAAAACACAATATCAACTTATTGTTAATTGAACTGTTGTATAAAATCAATATTGCAGTCATGCAGATATTGGGGAAAAACAGCACTTTTATTGGTGTGATATTGCTAAACTATCTCATATAAAATAAATACAAGAAAAAAAATCAAATAGAGTCAATGTTTTTTTGCCCTCATATTTTGAATTTTAGGGGCATATAACTGCATTCTGAGGCATTCTGATTCATCAGCAGCTGCATTAATGTAATATGATGTTCATGGATGGATGGGGCGGTGCATTAAATGCCTTAATAATTTTAACACGTTATTTCTTTCATAATTAACCACATTAAATTAATACATTAAATTGACAGCATCATATAAGTTAAGACTTGAAATAATAGATAACATAAGATACGTAACAACACTAAACACCCGGAAAGGTTGCTTCCAGATGTGTTGTGCTGTAAGCGTGTGCCCTTGACTTGACTTTGCACCGAGGGGAGCATCTGTTCCTCTGGATGAGCGTCTGCTTAATGACCTGTAACACAAACATAGTTTGTCAGTTATCTTCAAGTGCTTTGGGGAACACGGCTCATTGAAACAGGTTCAGTCAACCTTCAGCTCCTCACGCAATCTCACGCAAACATCGCTCACATTTCACCCCAATATCCAAAGAAAAAATTATCTGATAAATTATCTTCACACTTCACAACAAGTGTTAACATTAGTTAATGCATTAGTTAACATGAACAGCTATTATTAACTTTTGTTAATGTTAGTTATTAAATCTAGTTGTTTATTGTTTGTTCATGTTAGTTCACAGTTCAATAACTAATGTTAACTAAGATTAATAAAGGTACTGTTTATGAAGTACTGTTACATAACAAACAAGTTTTTATGAAATGTGCATAATTGCTGAAAATGTCACAGTGCAAAAAAATCTGAATATATGCTTAATTTTCTTTATGCAAAATATAATTTATTAATTTTTTTAAATTATAGCATTAAGATTTTTGGATAAAATTTACGTAATTGATCAAATTAATGTGACAGTGAAAACAAAAATCTTGATATATGTTTAATTTTTCTTTATGCAAAATATTATTTTTTTTAATTACAGAAATTTTTTTTTTATGAAATGTGCATAATTGATTAAATTAATGTCACAATGCAAGAAAATGATTAATTTTCCTTATGCAAAATAGAATTGATTGTTTCTTAGGTTTTTTTTTTGTTTGTTTTTTTACAGCAATAGGAATTGTGTATGACGTGGATAATTGATAAAATGAATGTCACAATGCAAAAAAAATGTAAAAAAAAAATCTTAATATTGGTGTCAGACTTCGTTTCATGTCTCGTGTTGTGTTTTCCTCCCCCATGTGCTCCAGGTTGATGTTTATGCCATATTTGGTTGTTCCTGTTCCTATTCCCATTTAGTTCTATTGATCCCAGGTGTGTCCCATTAGTTTCTGTTGATATAAGGTGTGTTTTGCCCCTTGTTTACTGTCTGCTGTTGAATGTCATTTCGTGCCCTTGTCATTTTGTGTCCTCAGTGTATCCTGTGTCTCTGTATTCCCAGCGTTTGTTTATTAAATCTTTGAAATTTACTTTGTTCCTCGTCTCCGCGTCCGTTCCTGTGCTCCCAGTGTGTGTGTCGTGACAGAACAGCGGACTGAAACAGTAAGCGGCGCTTCTTCTCCCGTGTTTTGTTTTCGTTTTGAATAGTCCTTTGTTTTCTTTTGTTTCTCCTGTGTTTTCCCCGCGGTATGAGAACCGCCCTGCTGTTAAGCGTGCCAGCCGCGCCGTTGTCAAGCTCGCCGGCCGCGGCTCACCTAAGCCCGCCGACCGCTCAGAAGATAAGCTCGCCGGCCGCGCCGTTGTCAAGTCCGCCGGCCACTCCGAAGACAAGCCCACTGGCAGCTCAGAAGTCAAGCCTGCCGGCCGCTCCGAAGACAAGCCCGCCGGCAGCCACGGAGCTCGTTCCAGTGAGGGCTACTGCTACCGAGTATAGCCCACAGAGGGCTCCTGTTCATGAGTATAGCCCACGGAGGGCTCCTGATTCCCCGTCGAGACAAGGGAGGGCTCCTGTTCCTGAGTATAGCCCACGGAGGGCTCCTGTTCCTGAGTATAGCCCACGGAGGGCTCTTGTTCCCGAGTATAGCCCACGGAGGGCTCCTGATCCTCCGTTGAGCCCAGGCAGGGCTCCTGATCCCCCGTCAAGCGGGGGCTGGGGCCGCGGCCTCAGGGGCTGCTTTTCCATGGCCTCCTGAACTACCTGCTCCACCGTGGCCTCCTGAGCTGCTTGATCCACCATGGCGCCCAGAGCTGTCAGATCCGCCATGGCCTCCTGAGTTCCCTACATCGTCATGGCCTCCTGGACTGTCGGATCCGCCATGGCCTCCTGAGTTCCCTACTCCGCCATGGCACCCCAAACGAGTATCACTCTGGAGGCCCGCCATCTCGTGTCTGTCCTGAGGGATCTCCAGAGTGGGGAGTAGTGTAAGACTTTGTTCCATGTCTCGTGTTGTGTTTTTCTCCCCCATGTGCTCCAGGTTGATGTTTATGCCCATATTTGGTTTTTCCTGTTCCTATTCCTGTTTATGTAAAGTGTGTTTTGCCCCTTGTTTCCTGTCCGCTGTCGAATGTGTCTCTGTATTCCCAGCTTTTGTTTATTAAATCTTTGAAATGTACTTTGTTCCTCGTCTCCGTGTTCGTTCCTGTGTGTCGTGACAATAGGCTTCTTTATCTTTATGCAAAATATAATTTATCATTTCTTTGATGACTTTTAGGTGATATATTGACAATATGAACCAATATAAAAGCATCATTATAGTAGTCCGTACAACTCAGAGTTATTATAGTTAACTAAAATTAAAACAATAAAAAACATGTTTTCATTACTTGAAATAAAATACACGTTAACTGAAATAAATTACATTTATTTTAAACACACATACTGGTAAAAAATGCGTAGCCTGAATGCACTGTCAGTCGTTTTGGATAAAAGTGTCTGCTAAACGCATAAATTATTATTATTAATTAAATTATATTTTATTCCAACTAGTTGCCAAGGCAACATTTCTCATTTTCATTAAGTTTAACTTGATGTACAAAAATAACAAAAACTAAAACTGAAATAAAATTAATAAATACACACACGCACACATCTATACATACATAAATATACTGTATACATATAATGACAAAAAAAAATTAAAACAAAATTATTTTGAATTTATTAGGAACTTTAGTTTTACCTCAGTGTATTTTGGAAGTGAATGGTGACTAATGAACACATAAGCAGAGCTGTATTATTTATATTTGGTTTGTGTGCGAGCTGAAGGATAGCTATTAAAGCTGAAGCTCAATACGTCTGTCTCCATCTCCTTCACTCTACAGCAGACGAGTGCCAGCTTTCATTCAGACGATCTCTTCCAGTTTAGTTTGGCGTGGATGTGTGTTTGTGCCCAGGAGTGATTAAAACACAACCTTGTTAGAAAACATTGACGAGGTTCAAAATACCTCTGAGGCACAGCTGCACCTTAATAAACTCCTTTCATGATTTTCAACATGCATGACAGGCTACAGTCTGCTCGAAAAAACGATGCTGTGTGAAGTGTAGACAGGGATCATAACTATATAGAGTTAGATATATAATCAATTATTGTCAAATATCTATTACACTACTGTGCAAGGATGCATTCAGTTGATCAAAGGTGACAGCAAAGCCGAATTATTATTGATAACTAAAACACTAAAACATTTTTGCTAATTGAAATAAAGCTGAAATAAAATATTAGACTTAAATATATAATCAAATATAAATATCAAATAAATATTTTTAAGAATAAAAATAAAACTATTAAAACATTTTTGTTAGTTGAAATAAAGCTGAATCAAAATATTAGACTTAAATATATTATCAAATATAAAATAAAATAAATATAAAACACTAAAGATAAAACTATTAAACATTTTTGCTAATTGAAATAAAGCTGAAATAAAATATTAGACTTAAATATATTATCAAATATGAAATAAAATAAATATAAAACACTAAAGATAAAACTATTAAACATTTTTGCTAATTGAAATAAAGCTGAAATAAAATATTAGACTTAAATATATTATCAAATATGAAATAAAATAAATATAAAACACTAAAGATAAAACTATTAAACATTTTTGCTAATTGAAATAAAGCTGAAATAAAATATTAGACAAATATATTATCAAATATATAGTAAAATAAATATAAAAAACTAAAAATGAAATTATTAAAATATTTTTTACTATTTCAATATTCATCAGCACAACTGTTTTTAACATTGATAATAATAAGAAATGTTTCTTGAGCAGCAATTAGACTGATTTCTGAAGATCATGTGACACTGAAGACTGGAGGAATGTTGCTGAAAATACAGCTTTGATCACAGGAATAAATTACAGCTTACAATATATTCACATAGAAATCGGCTATTTTACATTGTAATAATTTTCCAAAATTTTTTCTGTATTTGTGATCAAATAAACGCAGCCTTGGTGAGCAGAAGAGACTAAATCTTACCAACCCCCGTCATGAATGGTGAATTTAGGCTTAACATGCTAAAGTTACTGAATTCTTTGGTGTTTAACATGATGTTGTTCTCCTGTGAAGGTCCTCCTGTGAACGTCACGTGCAATATATTCATCAACAGCTTCGGCTCAGTGGCAGAGACCACTATGGTAAGTGTTTGTTATTACACCTTGCTAAAAAGAGAAATTGACAGGAGTTATTGTCTTACAGTTTGTTCCTGTTGCAAACACTTTCAAATCAATTCCACATGGACAAAATCCAATAAAGTCCCAGCTATATTTGGAAATAAGCAAGATTACAGTAACGGCTGATCGTTTGCTCTGAAAGCGAGATTTTACTTTCCACTAACTTTGTACTAAAACATTCCCTCGAGTGGATATTAAACAAAGACCAGAGACGCTGCTTTGATCAAATGCTAATTTTGTTTACATGTTTTGATAATCATTTTTAAGCAACCAATCATACTAATGAACTGCACAGAGAATACAAAATATGACAAGAGCTTAATGAATTTGGACAAAATGACATTAAAATAATGTTAGAAAATACTATATATGCAAAAAGCACTCATTTAAACCACTAATTCATGATTTAATATTTTATTACTTTTTTTAATGAATGATTTTTTTTTAAAACAAAAAGAATGTAATGCATGTGGATGATTTACTAATTCTAAATACTGTAATATACTGTAATAATATTACGGCAATAAACTCAAAAATATGTTAATTATGTGTGTGTGTGTGTGTGTGTGTGTGTGTGTGAGTGAGTGTGCGTGGTATTACATATAATACATAAATAAAATATAATACATAAATATAGATATAAAATTTATAAAATATATTTAAAATAGATTAAAAAAAAAGATCTTTCATTTATAAAATATTATAAATTAGATAAATGTATTTAAAAATAAAAAATATATAGTATATTTTACTTTAAAATACATTTATACAATTTATAATATTATATGTTATACTATATATTATATAAGATACTGTAAATCATTTAAAAATACACACGCACACACAAAAATGTATGCTACAATAAATTATTATGCTACTTTATATTCACCAGTTAATTAGCTTGATTTCTATAGGCTGAATCTTTTTGTTACGCCATTATTTGCTTGCAACAAGTGGAACAAAAGCCTCGTTAATTCATTAATTCAACACCGTTTTCAAAGAGCTTCATCTAATGAAGACCGTGGATTTCTATAGTCACTTCACAAGCTAAACCTTTATCAAAAGCACACAGAAATGCTTATAAAGTCACTGAATGGCTTTGCTGTGCATGTTATGATGAACTGAAGTCACATCGGAAAAATTACAGCAATGCATGGTTCGTTTTTTATGGCTGTATTAAGGAGTCTTATATAAAGCTGCTGTAAAAAAACAATATAACGTCTATACAAGTAACAGCTATGTGTTATTTTACTATTATAGTTTTTATTAATATTTTGAATTTGTTTTCATTTTTACATTTTGTTTTTTATTTAAATTTTAGTTATAGTAATTTAGTTGTTTTTTGTCTTTTTATTCTTATTATTTTTTTAATGTCTTTAGTTTTTTTTCTATTTTAGTATATCAAGTTAAACTAAATGAAATTGAAAAATGTTATTTTATTTAAGTTACAGTTTATTTTATTTCAAGTAACATTTTTATGGTTTTAGTTTTAGATAACTATTTAATAATTTAATAATAACTATTTAATAATAACCTTGATCCAAAGCTCTTAAAATGACAAAAAGTACAGAAAATATATGCATATTTCACTGAACAAATTAACATTTTTAAAAATTGTTTATAATTGTTGGTTTAGTTTTGATAAATTTTATTTGTTTATTTAGTTTTGGTTATTTTAGTATTTCAAGTTAAACTAAATGAAAATGAGAAATCCTGGCTTGGCAACTAGTTGAAATGTAAGATTTTTTTATGTTTTATTTTAATTGAGTTCATTTTTATTTTATTTCAATTAATGAAAATGTTTTTTAATGCTCTCAAAAGCTTAATTTTACCAGAAGCTCCGCTGGTCTTCTGTCTGAAAGCAACATACATTTTTGGTTCCTCAGAAGCTTTCAGTGAAAAAGTTCTTAGAAGAACGTTTAAAAAAATTCTAAAGAACCTTTTTTTCACGATAAAGAACAATATCGATTTCTTGATTTGAATTGATTCTTAAATCCCAAGAATCGATCTTTGTGGTTTTCATTTGGTGCATGAACAAAACTTAACGAATCGTTATTTTAACATCACATTTACCCTAGAAAAACATTCAGTGTTCTTAAACTCAATATTTAGCACTCTAGAGAGCATTTTGATAAATATATGCACTATATTACATATTCATTATATTTTTACTGAACCTGTTCATCAATATTTAATGCACGTGTTTTTAAAAGTTATATAAAAGTTAGGAAAAAACATTCTTAAAGTAATGTTTATGGAACATTCTTATAATTTTGTTAACCTTCGTAACCTTTGAATAACGTTATAAACACAACAAGAAAACTGGATATTTTAACGTTCTTAGAATATTTAAGAAAAGTTCAAATAACATTCTATTTTGGGTAAAAATAAAGTTAGTATGTTGGAATAAATGTTTTTGTAACCTTTAAATATCATTATAATCACGACAAGAAAACTGGACTTTTAACGTTATTAGAATTTAAAAAAAAGAGTTCAAATAACGGTATATTTTTTGAGTAAAAATAAAGATAGTAGAATGTTGGAAGAAACTTGCTGAACATTCTAAGAAACGTTTTTGTAAACTTTAAATATTATTATAATTACTACAAGAAAACTGGACTTTTAACGTTCTTAGAACATTAAAAACAAAGTTCAAATAACATTCTATTTTGGGTAAAAATAAAGTTAGAATGTTGGAATAAATGTTTTTGTAACCTTTAAATAACATTATAATCACGACAAGAAAACTGGACTTTTAATGTTATTAGAATATTTAAAAAAGAGTTCAAATAGCGTTATATTTCAAGGAAAACGTCTCAGGTTACTTATGTAACCATGGTTCCCTGAGTAGGGAACGAGACACTGCGTCCTCTAGGGGTCGCTATGGGGAACGCCTCGTTGTGACCCGTGTCTGAAGCATACATTGAAAAAACACCAACTCGTTGGCCGGCGACAGCCATGACGTCACTACCGGTGCGACTATATTATAAATAGGTGCCGGGAGCACACATCATTCACTTCTTCGTCTGAAGCTTGCGTCCGCAGCATGGCAAGAAACCTAGAGGACGCA